CATTGAATAAACACTGAATAAATTTTACACAACCTTGGCATTACCTTACAGACGCGTGTGAATGCTTTTTATCTCGGTAGGAATAACTCGGGAGATCGCTCGGTTACAATTTGTTACTTTTTGTTAAATTTAACTTCACGTGTGAATCGGGTATAAGTACCTACAAAGAACTGTGTGAAAAATTGAAAAAAAACTTTAAAAGTGCGAAAAAAAAAAACTGGGTACAGTAATTCATTTGAGGTAATGTCAAATAAATATTCAGAGCAAAAATGAGCAAATGGTACAAAATTGTATGCAAAATTTGCATTAAATTTGGCTCTCTCATTAATGGTTCAGATGGATTCCTAAACCTGAATTAATTCTACCATGCTAGCTCTAGTTTTGAGTCTGGGGCAGGTACGCATCCTTGGCCAAGTAGGTATCCTTGCTCAACTAAATGTTAATATGAAACATGGGTGTAATATGCATGTAATTACTTGACCCTCTTGGAACTAATCGTTTAGTCATGTGTGGAGATTCCGAAAATGTGGCACACTTTTAGCCCGTTGACTTGTTTTAATTTATTGGCATCTGGCCAAAAAGTTACTTATATAGTTAAACTTGGTTAAACCTAGTTAAACCTTTCAATTATTTATAGGTCAATATTATACATGTTACAATGGACTATTTAACAGATCGTGATGAGGTGATTTCAGAAGGCATTGTCAATATAACAATGAATGTATTGTTTTGTTTGGTGGTTCTGTGTTTCTTGATTTATCTCCATAGGATATTCAAGCCCCAAAAAGTATCCTTAATTACTCAGCAGGGTTAATAAACTCAAACAAGGCTGTGACTATATTTACGATTGGCTAAGATGTAATTCCTAAAGGCTATCAGTAAGATATATTTGCCAGTCATTTAAACTTTCGCTTGATGTACATTTCATACTACATTACTGTAGTAAAAAATATAAAAAATTTCAAATACAAATGCAGTAGAACGTTAAGTTACTTGTATGGTAACTGACCCAATCATAACATGATTCAACCTTTTTTTAGGCCCAATTGAATGCCTGTCTTTACTCATTAACCATAAAAACCCTGGTCCAAAAGTATCTTTAATTGCATACTGTATGTAGATTAACTTTTTTAATGTTCCAATTGTAATATGTAGCAAAGCTACCTATAGGCCCATTAATTATTAAGAGATACAATTTAATTTTAAATTAACTGAATTGTGGTCAATAGGAATACCAGTCAATAGTGTACTAGCTAAATTAATATTGCAAATAAAACTACAAAAGTGCTGGTGAGTTAAAAGTGACCATGAAGGTATAAATATGGGTGACTAATGGACCGGCAGTGGCCTTTTTTAGGCCCAATTGAATGCCTGTCTTTACTCATTAACCATAAAAACCCTGGTCCCAAAGTGATCTTTAATTGCATATGTAGATTATTTTTTTAATGTTCTAATTGTAATAGCACAGCTACCTATAGGCCTATTAATTGTTAATAGATACAATTTAATTTTAATTAATTGAATTGTGGTCAATAGGAATACCAGTCAATAGTGTACCAGCTACATTAATATTGCAAATAAAACTACAAAAGTGCTGGTGAGTTGAATGTGACCATGAAAGTATAAATATGGGTGACTAATGGACCGACAATGACTAAATTAACGACATCTTTAATCCCTTTATGCTTATACTATCTACTTCCAAAGCGTGCAGGAAGTTGCCATATAGTATATTTAATGAAAATAAGCCCACAACAAATTAATTATCAAGTTGCTGGTATACCACCTTGATAACTTATAGTTTATATCATAGCAGGTAAAAAAGAAACATCGAAATAACTATCTATTGTATAAATGTATACCACTCCATTGTTGCTAAATACCATCCTGTCCTTCCCATGGTGTGGTGAGCCAGTATTAACTAATTAATTTTTAAAAGAAAGAAAAAATAATAAAACCAAAATAACAATCAACTATATAATTTCACTGTTAACTTGTTTCTATATTAGCCTCACTAGAGAGAGGAATTAATATTAATACATATTACAGTATGCAAAAATAAACCATGATAAAATGACTACACTGCATCAAGTGCATTCATTCAAGGCTATGGCATATTTTTGAGCAATCATCAATTGTGTCTTATTTGACCAGCACTTAATAGCAACAGGTAAACAAGTTATAAGTATCTGAAGGGTGGGTAGTGCCACCTGGATCCCTACTTGGTGGACATTGTGTTTATGTATAATTAATACACAAGACTGCTAAAATTTCAAGTTGCTAATACTATTGATGCAGGCAGAAAACTGTGATTACATTTGCCAGCAGGATTAGAATGATCAAATATAATGGAGATTGTTGGTATAGTTTTAGGTGTTAATACCAGTTAGACAAGCTAACACAGTGTATATTGACACAACTCCTTTACACGCGGTCTGATTGTCGGTGTTCTCTACACAGATCTGATCACAGATTTGATCATGGCAGTGTGACGTAATCATCCCATAAGGGTCGACGTCAATACTTAAAGTGGCTTTCTAATAAGCAGATGTAAATATCAGTGTTTCGCCCTGCATTAATTAATTAATTAGTGATGTTGGACACTGAAAAATCTTGATTGCTCCATCTCTGATTGATTGTGATGTAGCATGCCTATAGGACAGGTCACTATTACTCTCTGCATTTAGGTGTAAATCTGTAGCTTGGGTAGTTAAAATCCTGGCCATCGAAATAATCCCAGGGTCTAGGTTCAAGTCCTGTTAAATCACAATTTTTTGTCACTAAAATAAAAACATCTCCCAAAAAAACCTCATAAATAGACCAGTAGTGTATACTATAGAGCATCGTCAATTATGCAAGTGATGAGTCACTCACTGTTGGGTGAGAATGATGAACACACAAATATATTTATTTTTCATGTGATACATTTAAATATGGTATCTGAGCCTGCAGAAAGCTGCTTTAACAGCTCTTTCATTAAATCAAATCCGATCAATGAATTACTGTACGTGCTAATCAGTAGATATAGCAAGTTAAACAAGTTAAAGTTGGCAAACACTTATCAGAATCAGAGACCTTATTCAAATATTAGTTCAAACTTTGGATGATTAGGCCTAGTTTTGCCAGTCTATTTATCATCTTTATGTCGCCTTCTGACCTGTTTATCTTTTTTTTTTAGGACATTGCACTTTCCAAATGGATTTTGAATAAAATAAAAATTATATTAATTATATTGTTATTTTAAGCTATTAAAACATACACTGAATCATTCTACAAAGTAGATTTATGGGTATATTATTAATACAGAAATAATAATATCAATTTAAACAAATAATAATTTACTCTTCTCTTTATGGATTTTTAAGTTTTCTCTGTTCATTTAATTATTTATTTTAAATTAATATTCAGTTTTAATCCCATCTTTTCTAATGCAATCATTCCTACTTTAATCAAATTAGTTTATGTGATTGAATATAATGATAATAATAACTACTGTATAATAACAACAAAATAAAATATTGGTCCTGTTAGTTATATCATAGAGAAAACTGTTCTATTTTCTCTATGGTTATATCTTGTTATGAGACTCTTAGGAACGGAAAGGAAATTTAATTCAAGAACTTGAATTAGAAGCCAAGCACTATAATCACAGACCCTATGATAACCATCTAAATCAGAGCTACCCTTTATCTGTCACCTCAAAAGCCCCATTCAGACAGAGCTGCAATATTGCGGTACGCACGCCGGCATGGGTTTCTGTCTGAAACGGTCGATACGCCCCAATATGCCGGCTTGCTTTAGGCCACCTTGCACCCTAGTAATATTGTCGCAATATTGCGGTAACGGTTACTGGCTTGCTGTGTCTGAAAGGGTCTACTCGATATTGCGGCAATCAAGCTGGCGTGTGCATTTATGCATAAACAAACAAGGTTAAAGTTGAAAACAATTACGCAGTGGTATTTAAACCGCCAATATTACGCCATTGTATAGGATCCTTTTAGACAAAATCGTAAGGTTACCGCAATATTGCGGTAACAAAGCGGGCTGTGTGAAATAGTATAGACCGGTTATTATTATAGCATGCTTACCGCAATACTGCGGCAATGTCTGTCTGAAAGGGAGAGTCTCTATTCTGTTGTAAGTAATTGTAATTAGAAATTGTGTTTTCTAATACGATACTGAGCCTGGTAACAATTAAGTCCCTTACAAAATGCTTATCAGACAATACAACAAATATTAAATAATAATATTTCTTTATTTGTTTTTTTTTTTGTATAAAATTTTAATAATAATAAATTTATTTATAACAAAAAAAAAAAGATATGGTTAAATAATAAAAATAAAAATATATTAGGCACTTTACAATTAATGCTTTTACATAGATTTAATCATGGTGGATTCACTTAGTTCATACTATATTTAATCATTTCTTGATATGTACAGTAGTGTGCTGGTGGTCCAGGTATAGCAAGCACATACTTACTCCATTGAGAAATTAGTTTATTTTGATGATTTATTAAATAAAGCTTTGAATTAATGTTAAAGAATTAACATTTGGGAGTAGACCATCTTTTCTTATCATGATTAGAAATGTACCTTTTCAGTGATTCTACTTTCATGTGAATTGTATATCTGAATAAACAAAAGTATAATGATTGTACAATGATAGGTATACCTGCAATTAATACTATAACTATTGGTTATTAATGTTGCTCTTTCCGACCTAGGAAAGCTATATCTGCAATTAAATACTATTTGTTATTAATGTTGCTCTTTCCGACCTCGGAATGTACAGTTTTAAAGAAAATGATCCTGGTATGTCCAGAAATATCTCACCAACGGATGTTTTAATCCAATTGAGAATACATACATTTCAATTCTTACCGCCATACACAAAAAAAATACATAATATCTAGCAGCTGTTAACTTGAGTGGCTGTGAGTGTTGAGTGATTTCAATTTGAATGAAATAATGAAAAAGATAAAAATATTAAGCCTTACCATATTAAAATTGTGAGGTCTGCACTATATGAAATAAATCCTCTGATATGAATCCAAAGCCAGACTTTCTTGACCTTTAAATGTCAGTTTTATAAAAAAAAGTATCCTAAGATCCAAACATTGTACAGTAGCTACATTGGCTGGTAATAAAATGTTGGTGTGGTGATCGGATCACAGTAAATCTTGCAGATGTCCTGGGGAACAACTGGTATTGTGAAAGAATGCACTTCCACTCTGATCAATGCCAGCTTTAAGACTGAGGCAGTCTACACAATCAGCAAACCATACAACTCAACAGACTGTTCCATTGTGTAATAGGGGGTGTCATGACTAATGGTCTGTTTAATCTTATATTGTACAATAATAAACTATGTGTTCACTATTCCTATTGATATTAATGTTCTTTCCTGATTGATTTGTGGATTTTTTACCCATATTTTAAGTCAAGAACTGTTTTGTTGGATTTTTTTTTTTATTTTGATTACTAAAATATTTTTATTAGACGTTTTTAAAGTGGTTCAGACCAATATTATCTCTTTGTATTTATGTTCATTTTTCGAAACTCCTGATAAGAAACCTGAAGTCTTAATTTCATTACTTTTGCTTCATTTGAGTTGCTTAATTGACCTAATACTAAATCTTTTCATACAAATTCCTTAAAAGTAAAGACTATAACAATGTTACCATTTGTTTTTAGACGCATATATAAAAGTTACAATTTATGGTTAATTTGCCTCATATTCTTTCAACTTTTCTTAACGCAAAAATGCAATCAACCCCGGTCTCCCACGCCAACACACAATACGCAGCCCCTCACATCTTCATGGGAAAATAAATACAGATTGAAAAAAGCCGTGAAAACAGAAGTTGCTAATTGGATTAGAAAGAACAGAGTCAACAAAATTGCTGTGGCAAACTTTTTAAGGATACATCATCTTAAATAGCATTATGGCTAATTAACTTCTGTACTCTTCTAGATGAAATACTATGCACAACCAGGGTCTGTACAGGCCCTGGGAGGTTGTTTTGGGCTAAGGTGGGGGTCGATTCACGTAAACAAATGCTATATTAAGATCGTACAACCTGGTACTATCCTATATTTAGCTGAGGTAGTGAATTAATTAAAATCTAAATAGGGAAATAGAATTCTTCACATGGGTATTTTCTCTTCCTTGATTGGATCAGGTTTTTTGTTTTGATGCATGTTTTGTATAACCTTTGTGTTTTTTTCAAAGGATATTGTCTACAATCAGGTTCAATACTCTCTGGAAATGTGATTTGGTATGTTTTTGTTTTTTAAGTATGGTAAGCAGGAAGTTGTAGGGAAAATCAGACAAACTTGCTTATTTCATGAAGGTTTAATATATATCTAAATTCTACTTTACCCATACCCATTTCCTTATTTTTTTTTCCCAAACTAACTTGTCAATTTTTCCCAAAGGTATATTTGCTGATACATTAGATTTTTTTTTTTAAAGCTCCAAATAGAATAAAAAACTAAATACAGAATTTCTAAAAATTGTATTGTCTGTACTCAGCTAATCAATTGTGAATCAATTGTGATATCAATTATTTATGGTTTGTAATATAAATCTTTTTTTACATTTCATTTTGTAAAATACTAAATATCTAATAAAATCTACAATATAAATATTCATTAGCTGGGGTCCATTAAAGCTGGGTTTACGTCATTAACAACTGTATTGGAACTAACCGGTAAGCCGCCTTATTAACAAGCAGTAAATATTATTTTCCCTGCGAAGTTGATGGATGGCGTATGTGTTTTATTGCAAAAAGATGGCTTGATTAGTGATGATTTTGCCAGAAATTGACAGCAAAGTATATACTTCTGGGAAATGTCCACATAACATTCCTAATTTAACTGCGTTTGCAGACATGAACTCAAATCCACCTCAAATATTTTTTTTGAAATCATCACCATAGGCATGCAGAATGGCAGGTTTGCGAAATAACGTATAATAAAAATCTCCTCTAACATAAAAAGATAAGAATACAGGTAAAAAGTATTCCAGTAGTGATGGGTACATGTATATTTCTGCAATTAGTTGGCAACGTTTTGTTCCTTCCAACCTGCACAAGTTCAAACCGATGTCATTATCCTTTTCATGTTCTTCCTGGATTAACTTATCTGGACATTTGCAGCATAATGATTTATTTTTATTGTAAATTTCCTGTCATCCTTTCTTCATACATTATTGTTTCCTTCTTTTAAAATTCACTTTCCGTTAAAATTTGCCTGTAGGTATTTAAAATTACCTCCCATCCTGGATTGAAGAATGAGTAACTCTGATGAATTTAGTCATAATCTATTTAATTATTATTAAAATCTTTTCTACCAAAAGTTCTGTAAATATAGATTGTTTATATTTTTGCATTATATTTTATTTAGAAATATTTTTTCATATAACTTTTTTCCAGTAGTCATTGTTTTAATTCCTAACCTTAACCTTTCTTCCAGTTTGTATAAAATATGCCTACGGTGCTTGACCTAATGTGTACATGTCTACGATGTTATTGCCAAGTACTGTAATGAAATAATGCCACTTAACTATATTGTTTCATCAGTTGTTTAAAATATGGTCACATAAATTTATCAACTTTGTTAAGTTTAACCCTTAGTGGAAATGATATAGACAGGAACATGACAGCAATATGGTGCACATCCGAATATACTTTTTCCATTGTAGTCACAAAATGACAAGCGATTATACTAGAATTTTTATTGTCCAAATGCCACAGATATAGAGTTTTTATCTATTTTTTGCAGTAATAAATTTCCTGAAGACAGTATGGGTGTGGTATCTAATAGACATCTGTTGCCGATGATAAAATAAAAAATATAGCAGAATTAAATGACACCTGAATTACTAATGCATTATAAGTGAGATTTGAATTCGATATGATTTCAACTTTTTTTTCCATGGTTCCCGGTTAGTATAAATTCAAGTTTATAGGGACCTATTTCTAATGAACTTTAAGCCAAAAATAAATTTTTAATTCTCATCAAATTTTCAAAATTGAGGACCATGTTGCAGCTGATTTTCAAAGAAAGCGTTGTCAGTGGGAGGTATGTGATATCATCATTACCCAGAAATATTGTTTTGAATTACCTTATTAAAGGAGTTTACGTAGTTGTTATTGTTTTGGTTTTTGGTTACACTTGGTAAAATGATCCCTTCAATAAATTTTATGTAGTGGCTTAATGCTATTATTACAGTAATATTTTATGCCCCAGTTTCTAAGGGCAAGATACCAACCCATGAAAGTTACTAGGCTATCATATACAATCAAGTTTACGTGAACTTTTATAATATATCATATCTTTTATGTATAGAATATGCTCCCACTTTCTTTTCTATTTGTCATTAATAACGTCCTATGTCTAGATGACTGAATGATACTCGATTTTAATCGAAATTTAAACACTTTTTTCCACAAAGGTTTGATCTCAAGTTTATAACGTAAACTCTAGAATGTTAAGTTTGTTGAAGCTGGCTGCTCCATGAAAAACAGTTCTTTGTCATGTTGATTTTCATGCAATTGATTTGGTATTTTGGACAGATTTCTGACAATTGATTTTTTTTTTCAGTAGAAACGTGCACATAGAACATTTCCCCTTGATCCTATGGTCCACAGCTGTTGAAGGGGCATCCTTTGCATTGATCCAAATGGCCTAGATCCAGTTTGAAACATTTCTTCCCATTTCCTCTATTGCTGTGAACTGAATCCTAAATATTTTTGCCTCATCCCTGAAATCACTTCTATGCTCATGATGTCCTTGTGAGTATAAATTAAAACCTAGATGCTTATAGTAAAATCTAAATTGAAAACCTATCAATTTTCGTCTAGGCTTGCTTGCTCTACCAAATTAAACAGGAATGCCAGTCCTGCCTCCAGCACTGGGCCATAAAGAAATTATTACTCTGGTGAATGGGCCCCTAGATGCGTGGCTGCCTGCCTGGTGTTCTCCGAAGCATGTTCTTGATTGTAGATAGGACATGAATAACAAGTACATGTCACAATGAATGAGCATCATACATATTTTCCATCTAATGAGATTAAATACCTGCCTTACATGACCATCAACTCCAAAGGACTTATCATCTATAGTAATAAATTAAAATTTTAGAACTGAAAAGAGTAATGTAGTACTTTAAATTCTATTTACATTGTTATTATTCATTGCTTTTACTCTCTGTTGTTTATCATCTTCGAGTCCAATCCTTCATATTCTATTTTCAAATGAATTTTTCAAGTGCCTCACATTTTCATACTTTCAAAGAACTATTTTGAATGTAAGGAAAGTAGAATTGTCCTTAGGAAATTTGTCTGATCTAATCGTGACAGTTCATCACATTTCATCCATAAATTTAAACATTTCTTTTTCATTTCATTTATTTAGTCCAAAGAACAAAAACCTGACAAACACAAAATAACAGAGAGAGGAATAAAACAATCAATTGTCCAAATAGGATTGCCAAAAAGTGAACAGAATCACTGTCTAGTGGCTCTCCCATACCAATGAGAACATAAATTAGTAAAAGATTTTAATTTTTATATAAAAATTATATGTTGTTGAATTGAAATACTTTTATTTGAGGTATTACAAACATACTGTAAACATATAAACCTAAATGTCCACTGATAATCTCAGATAAGAAAGTATAATATATACGCCGAGTGTTGAAATGCACGCCATCGTGTTGTGATTCAATATTTCAACATTAATTATGTCATCATCAGGAATATAAGTATATTAAGTATGTTATTTTGTCTTCCATGTCCTCTTCTGTAACATGTTAGGCATTGTTTTATATTTTTCTTCAATTTTTGTTTAGAATGCTTTAAGCATTAATAATTTTTACTTATTTATCTATTCTTTCTTTATTCTGAAATATGCTTTCAATACCATGTACCGGTTTCCAAAGTTTTAATAAAATGTAACTTTTGTTTTACAGAAGGCAACATTGCAATGCTCTATATTAATCAGTGGGTAGAGTAAAACAAGAATATGGTATTAATCAAAGGATTTGAACCCAAGGCATTAAAAGGTGAGTTGCATCGAACTTCAGCTCAAAAATTAGATGTACTGTACACTAACAAAGATCAATCACGAATTAGAGTGAGTGACACAATTAGTGCCATTATATATAAAAGTCAGTGATTTCTTTGTGCCAAAGAATGAAAAATTGGATTTTATAATCTGACTCAGCTTATTAGGTAAAAGACCTGTTACAAAAATCAATAACATTTATGTAAAATCTGAGACAGCAAGAGGGAGTAGGTAAAAATGAGTACTTTCTATACATTGAAATTATAGAAGTGTTGAATGATATTATCGACCCTTAAGCAAAGCTCAAATTCAATGTCAGCTTTGTTAACATGAACTGTCCTTGTAACCTCAATTAATAGTAGTAGGGTCTTAAAAGTATTGTACTTGACCTTAAACTCCTTGTACACCTAGATGATTGATCATGATGAGTATTCATTTTCTATTGAGGAACAAGTGACAAATAATGGGACAATATGATGGATAGGAAAAAAAAATACTTTGAAAAAATAGCAACTTACTAAAGAGTCAAGTGGCAGTCAAGGAGACAATTATAAATGTACCTTGGCCAGTCTTGTACAGGCCTATACGGTAGTTACTCCAGGATTTGCCTGCAGCGGTGGCTCCAGAAATTTGCCAACGAGGGGTCCGAAATGTCCGACGGAGGGGTCTGAACCAAGAGTCGACTAGAGCCTTGGTTGGGTCCCGGAATAAAAAAAATCCCTTGTAGATTTCACTCAGAGAGTTTTTATGGCTTAGTATGGTCAAAATTTAAACCACAATATTAATGAATGGTGATCAAAATAACGTTATTTAGATAGGCAAATTATGATTTTTTTTTTATTTATGAACCGACGGCCTTATGGGGTCCAGGCCTGTCCGACAGGCAAATTAACTGTTATGAAGTTGTTTTAGCTTGTTTTATGCTCCCAATTTTTTTTAGGAAAATATTGTTTTTTCCATTTTTTGTGGTCCAACAGGGATTTAATTGTCCGACAGGACTTAAGCCTCCTTCCCCCACCATCACTGCCACTGTATACAGTGTATGCATACATTCATGCAATAAATATTAGTGCATAGGCAAAATTAAAAAATACATCAACCTTACAGTAATTTAAGTGTTTCTCAAGTGGTGCAGTATCCATGTCTGTAGCTACTGGACAACTTTCACTGCCAGCATATGCAAACACTGGTTTAATTAATTCATGATTGGCAAGTTGCTCATTTAGCTATTGATATTTTTAATTTAATTAGGCTTTCTTTTTTTACAAGTCCATCAATCTTAAAACAGATTTATGAATACTATTTACTACTTGTGATGAAGTCCCATCAATTAGAGAAAAGCTTGTAAGACAAATATATTAACAGAAGTGATAGTCATAAAAGTGCTACCAACACCTGTTTTACATGAACAATTTAAGTCAGAAGATATGGCTTAATGATAGGTATTTAGATGTCTAATTTCAAATGATTATAGAGTATGTTGTAGTCATAGTCATCCAAAATGGATAATTTTCAAAATCACTGCTCATTTGTTTGAACTCTAGTGGCCCAGGCTCATAGTGCCTTGCTAGTTTCAGTGCTACTACGCAAGAAAATTATAAGCTACATAGGATTGATGTCACTCCTTCCATGAGAAATATATAGCAAATAAAGACAAATTTTAATACATTAGAACTCTGGGCTCAGCATTTCCAACTCATGGTTGGCACATATTATCTTCAATGCATTCATTTAAAAGATGTTACTAATAACAATAGTTAATACTGGATTTATGCTATTTAACCTTTTGCGAATTGTTAATAATATTGGGGCATAAATCCAAGTTGCTTATTCAAATGTGTGTAATTTCATCTCATGTGACTAATTAACTATTAGATTGATTTCAAGTCACTGAGTTGATTTGTTTATAAGTACCATGGAATACGGTTAATAATGTTTACAATGATGCCTTCTAAAATTAATTAAGCTAAAAACGCTATTAATAATGTTTTTCCTCTTCTGGATTTTTTCCATGACGATGGGCAAGCAAAAATGTCCCAAAATAGGGTGTACGTAGGAGGGGACAAGAAATATCTTTGTTGTTATTATTCGTAGCAATAAATTATCTGAGAATTTAAATTCTGCACCCTTCATTGAGTTTCGTTACCCAAATGATAATTATCACACAAGCAGAAGTCCTGCAAATTATATATGAAAAGTGCATCATCTCACACCGAAGGTTAGCAATCTTCCTCTTCATTGTTTCTGAATACATTAACCCATTTATACAATTGCATGTACTATAATTCTTCTGTAGCAAATTGTTTCATGATCATTGAACAACAGATGCAGAATTCACTATCTCATACCAGTACGTCTGTATGATAGGCCAAAATAAAACAAACCTATGTTTCTCATCAAGGCATTTTGAAAAAGAAGATGAGGTATCATTTTTTTTACTTATTTTATTTTTTGTTACCTACCTATGCCTCGGGGTCAGGCTGGCACGCACAGATACTCCTAACAAAGGTGTTTGAATTTCTACAGGATTTTCTGGGTGTTTTGTCTTGTGACGGTTGAGAAATAAGGCGGTGGCTGGACGAATAAATGAAAAGGGGGGGGAGGAATAACATGGTATTTCATATTTGGCCATATTATATAGACATTAACCTAAAACTGAACTCTCTTACACTATAGTAATCCCATCCTAAACAATTACATAGCATACTCACAATTCTAGGGGCAAATATACTGTATTTGATTATATTATTTGAAAATTTAATCTTTGACCTTATAATCTGAAAAAGTTTGTATTCATATACAGTATTTATATATTTCAACAATTATTTAATATATTGTTGTTTATTGATTTCTTATGTATTTTACATTAGCACATTTTCAGTTTTTTCTCTCAGCATTAATACCAAACTGAAACAATGAACTTTCTTTTGTTTATTTTTTTATATTAATTCTTATTTTGTTTTATTTTTATGTAATTTTAATAATAAACTATAATAGTGATATAATGAGGAATAACGTATTTGATTGTAAGGCAGACTTTATTTTATTATTTTTTGTTTTTTTAACTGCAAATACAGTAATAATAATAATTATTAATAATGATTATTAATAATATTCACAAAATAATGACTAAATTACATAATGAACTTTAAAAACATTTATTTATTTGCTTTTGAAATGAATATTCATAGGAATAGCCATAAAAAAAATGCCTATGTGTGATGTAACTCTTGCATTATAATGCCATGATTCAACTGTTTAGTTTAAATAGCTGATACAGTTTTGAATACTCCTTATGAATGTTAATACAGGGTGTATATTAGATATGAATATTTATGAACAGTTGGTATCTTAATTATAATTAATGTAGATCTACCAATCCTAACTATTGGATGTTCCGACTTTCATGAATCAACTGTTATTCAATTTACATTGTGGTTGTGGAGTGTACAAAGCAATGAGTAAACCTTGAATCTACGAACCCATATTAAATCACTCCATTCATCATGTGGATTTAGAATATTATAGTTCTTTAAAACATTGAAAAGAGTTTTATGTGGGTCAACCTCTAAAGCGATCACTTTGTTGCTAGTAATACTCCATAGTATGTTGAATTTCCGCTGCCCTACCCTTGTCTTGTTGTTGTGATAAAAATTAGTGTATACATTTTATATAATTTCATTTTCATCCAATAGTGATTGACACGAAATTTGCTATGTGATATTTATTGGAGTAAAGGGGTTAAATCACCACCAGATTTAACCATTGTAAACCATAAATCTAGCAACAAGAAGGGATTCACCCCTTGACATCTCTAGGGATTTACTATACCCCAGTCATGGGCAGATCAACAGATGTCCGAAAAGGGGGGGGGGGAGCGAAAATGAGGCTGATCGAGACAACACTAACCTAGATGGTCCGGGAGAAATATTTTTAGACGATCAATTTTTTTCTTTCCCTTTCTTTCATTGTTTTTTCTTTTTTTTAACTTTCCAAAAGGTGTGGGAGGGTGGACTGGGGCCGGCCTGGCACCCCTAAATCCACTCCTGCCTCAATCTTGAGCAGAGGCCCTAGGTAGCACCTTTTTGCACCCACTATTGGACTTATTGTACCCCATTTCTCCCTGTGTGAGTTCATTGTTCATGATGCCTATTTATAGCATTATTAACAAAGTACAAATAGACAAGTTAATTGATTGAGAATAGAATTTGTAACAAGGAAAGTGAGTGTATTGTACTTTGCTTGTACTGATAATATTCTTAATGGTGAAGAGTACCTTCATTGATTGATATTTCCTGGAAGTTCACTACAAACCATTTATACATCTCTCTTTAACAAAGATCTTTTTTCTGTCACTAAATTTGTTGAATGATATCAGGAAGCATGTATCAGCTGGCCATTAACAGGTGGTTATAATATATTTTTTAATATGAACTCACTTGTAAGTAAGTTACCAATTACAGGGTGGATATCTGAATCTAATATTTATTATTAAATAAGTTATTAGACAACAAGAAATGCTTTGATTTGTTTTAAATTTTTAGCTGACAACAGGATGTAACACTTTACAAAGACCTGTTAATCGATTTGAACCCAGGACAGTGGGATGGCACTATGTATAATTACCACCGCACTACATCTCCTCAATAGAATTTTCTTTCCTTACGTTTATTCGAACAACTTTTCTGCCACTACCGTGAAGAGCGATGTGAATTTGACTTTACATTTTTGGTGATCTCTTTGACTCCAAATGATAAATCGTAGAATTGTTTATTTTATTATAGGTATGATTGCCACAACATTTACCAATTTTAATAGAATAAAATAGCCTGATAAAAATAAAGACTAAATAAATCACATATTTATGAAACTATGATTTAAATGACCCTGAGACTGGATATCCAGCACTTTATGGTTTAACGATTTAAGTTATAGTCCCATGCTCCAGCTCAGTTGATATTCTTTGATTTATTACTGCTTGGCAAGTGAAATTACTGT